CAAGTGTGACGAAGGTGAAAAAGTCCCCAAGGGACCGTGGAAACCACACGCAAGAAGGTTAGAAAACCTTCGTTTATGGTGAATTTGAGGAAACGAATTGAATGCAAGTGCTGGGATCTGCACAGTGTGATACATGTGATACCGGGTCATGTAGTAATTAAAAAACGTCTATTTACTCTTGTATTATCGTTTCTATTTATTTCGCTTCACATTCGTCTACACACATTGAACGGGTACCAGCAGTTCACTCGGTTCGCTTTCTTCTCATTCACTATCTGATGGTGTTGGGTTTTGCGTCAAGGTTTCGGCTGCTATTTCATCTTCACTATGAATGTTGCTGAATGGTGGCTGAATTGATTCTTCTTGGAATACTAAAAAAAATCTTAGGATTGCTGTACTTGAGCATTACCAGGTGTTTACCACTGTCGCAGTGGCCACCTTTTGTGGATCGTTCCCCAAACAACTCGGGTACCAGTTCGTCATCTTTGGAGTGATGGGGGTTGTGGTTGGTCCAAGTTGGGCTAAAGTAGAGGCCACGCGCGATCCTGTATTATTGAAAACGTTATTATAGTTAGAATAGTAACGAGCGTGTAGTGCAGTGCTTAGTGTGCATTGCTATACACACGGGATCATTGGTGCGACCTCATGTCTGGAACTGAGTAACCTCCCTCACACGCTCGCCATCCAGATGGGGTTGGGAAATTGGCAGCAGACTTCTCTTACAAGAGAAAAACATAGATTTGATTCACTGCTGGGCCATTCGAGCACTTATACGATGCTTGATGAACTTAGATCTTTCCACAAAATATCCTTCAGGAATTGCTCAATGCTGGAAGCGCTTTATTACTGTATTATATATGGGACTTGAATAATAAAACTTGAAAGCAAAGTAAAAATTGAGAAACGAGGACATTTACCAGTCTGTCAAGTAGGGTATCGACTGATTTGGAAGGAAATTTTGAGGCTATTTAGTCTCGAGGGGAGATCGGACTCGATGAATTTTCCGACTGAATGCCAATCGATCGTTCTTTCATTACTGCTGGCGACAAGTCCCATACGATTCCCTTCTTACCTCTTGTTATTCAACCGTAAACCCTGAGCCGGTGAGTTTGTGTAAAAATTGTGCTTTTTTTGTTGAGAATTTCAATGAGAATCGATCTCGAGCTAAGTTGTGTTTTCAGTGTAAATATTTTGTTTACGATATTGGAAAACGCGCTCCAAATGTGGTGACGGTGGTGATAGTCGATCGATAGAAGTTACACCGGTATCGATCGGTTCAGCTCATGACCATGTTTGTGGCGTTCTGAGTTAGACCCCAGCGCTTGTGTTTGTCTTGATTGAGTGTGGTGGATTCATTTCCTTTTACTCTTGGTGTATTAGGACGCTAACCTTTCACCGGTGCACTTTTAATTGGCTGAGCTTTCTCGAAAACGCGTAGATCGTTGGCAGATATCTGCCGATCGGAAGGTTGTTTACGACTTTCGCTGGCCACGTGCAGTATCCCTCTAGTCGTGTTCAATGTCCTGTCGATATGTCTTCCCAGGTTCTAGTTTTCCATTCTAATGTGTTGTCAGTTGGTTTGTTCCTGTATTTTCCACTAACGGGTACATCTTTTGTTTCGATTTTCATAGTCTGTGAGCGTTCCGTATCTAGAAATTCCTCTGGGGTTATACTAATGAGGTGCTAAAGATCGCTGATTCAGAGTTACTCTGCAGAAGCAGGTAACCCCAGCTGTTCATTTGGAGTGTTTTCTTTATCACAATGTTTTTTAACGCTTTAATTTTAGTTGATAGTAAATTTACATCATCTGTTTTTGTAGGTCGTATATAAATGGTGTACCAACCTGTTACTACTGGATTATTTCTTAAGCTCTCCAGCTCGTACAGTTCTAAAACGAAGCAGTTAACCTTTCATTGTCCAATATTTAGGAAATTGTTTTTCTTCCGTCCATTAACTACCCTGGGACATTCACATATCTGATGTGATCGTCGCTTCTGTGCGACATTTTTGCTTCTTCACTGCAGTGTTTTTTCTGGTTCGAAGTTCTATCCCACTGAAAATCATACCAGTTTGAGGATACCGCCGAAGAGAGTAGGTCTTCGGTTTCATTGAAGACAGGTGCTTGTACTGGGTGATGTCATTAACAAATGGCGTACCATGGGGAGTTGCCGATGATAACCACATCTCAAATGGTTTTCCTTCTGCCGGACGAGTTCTTGCTATTGCGGGTTGTACCAGTTCGGGGAAGACGACTATGGCCAAGATCTTGACAAAGATGGTAGGTTAATTAAATCATAATTCTAGGATTTATATAATAATAGGGCGTTTGTATATATCACGCTGTGCCGTACTGACTGTATTACTTGGATACGTGGATACTTGGATGACCCGTCTTTGCAGCTTAACCATTGTAGTACCCTGGAGTGCCGAGGTGCGCAAGGCCAAAGTCTGTCCCAAGTCGTCACCACCACAGGCAGTAGTGGACCTGTGGATCACGGGAAGATTTGCCACCACGCGACTAGTTTGGTACTAGGACGGTGACGGATCCTGGTATCGGTTTATTGTTAGCTGGGCTTCCTGATGGAAGCGCCGGGCCCCTTTTCAACTTGGAATATCCTGCTGGTGGATAGATCCCCCCGTTGTACATTGCAGCCCGACACCCAGGAACACCTCCAAGCCACGATGAGGTGGGAAGCACTTGGGAGGGACAGTATTACGGCTGCAGTAAATACTTTTTTTTTTGTAGATGAAATGCGTCTTAAAATTTGTTCATCCGCTTGTATCTAGAATCCGAAATTTTCAGTTCATCGAAGAGGGTGTGACAGTCACGACCATTCATCAGGATGAATTCTTCCATGCTAAAGAAAAGGTAGTACACAGCGCGAACATTCCCCAGTTGCGGTAATGTGTCATGCTACTTTTGTCCTGTCAGTGATTTGTTTAGTAGGTATTAATTCCGCTGTTTTAGATAGAGAAAGTTTGGCGGAAAACGGGTAGTAAACCAAGTTTCTTCTACAATTATGATTGCAAGTCTGCCGTTGATCATGGGAAAATGATCCTTTCCATCAAAGCGGTTCGTTATATTTAAATATTACACATGTAATTCCTTATCTACTGTTCTTTGTGAAATGCATGCTACTTTATAAGTAGAAAGATTAAGGCACTGTAGAGTTATACGAATTTTATGTCCTGCCACAAGCAGGCACAGAAATTGGAATTTTTTAAAGGAAAGTTTCTTGCAATTTTTGAGTGTTATGCTGAAAATGTCAATAGGCTAGGAAACTAGCGTGCTGAGGAGCATGAGCCTTCAACATAATAGTGATTGGTTAGCTTTTTTTAAAAAACGCTCTTGTAGTTTCTACTACTTTCCTTTCCTTTTTTCCTACGCTTTGCCAATATTTCTCTAGTTCTAGTAGCATGCTTTTCAGCAATTTTCACGGTTTTTGAGGTAGTTTGGAACCTTTAAAGCCCTTTCCGAAAATCAATAGGAAGTAATCAGTATTTTCTTAAGTTATTGGTTTTACACGAAGTTTTGATAAAAACGTTATTCTGGTCAACGTCTTGCCGGCTTCGTCTTCTTCAGAGCCGTAACGATTCCAGTCGATCGTCCAGAGCCGTTAATTGTTGCGATGTATGGGTCTTCGTTGTCAAGTGGAGTCAAATCCAATGGAGCGAGTACCGCTCCAACGAATCATTCAGAATTGTAGCTCGTAAATGAAGTACATGCCGTTTGTGCAATTCAGTCATTGGTTGCGAACACATAACGCCCGACGCTTAAACTTCCGTGGCTAACACATGAGACAACGTCCCATTATATGTTTGGTGTGCACTTGATGGATTTCAGACAGTTAACGAAGGTTTTTTGATAATTGAACTATATGAAGAGTTGTGAATACCACGGTCTTATGGAAGACACGTGATACGTCTACGTAGTATGTATGCTAGTATGTTCTGCATGTTGCTGTGGTCACTAAACAATCGCTTTGCTGTCATCATTTTAAAGTGTTTTGCAAGTTATGTTGAATTTATTTCTGTTTTTCATACCCTATCAATCCATGTACTAATCATATCAATTCATCATTAGAGATTTGAAATGCTAGTCAATTAGTCAGCATAACACTCAGTCGACTGATTCGAAAAAGGTTTTTGTAAATTATTAGATGTAAGAACAACTTTGTAAGAATTACACTTAACATAACATTTGTGTTGAACTTTGCAAAAGCGATTGCTTATGAAAAGGGCGGTGAAGGAACTATATTTAGCAAAAGTAAATCGCTAGAACAAGCCTTGGCTAAAGTGCATTTCATCCACATTTTTGTCGTTTTGTCCTTATTTTGTCCCTCACGCGCTCACATCATGCAATGCATCTCGGGTGTCATATGCGAATGTAGAACATCCTTTTTTCGTCCACGATGACAGGATAAACGTTGAAACTTCAGAGAGCAGTTGTTTGACAAAAAACATTCTCGTTAAGCCGATGAGACTTCGGCAGAATTTCTGGCCGAGCATACAACCTCATCTTAGCCACTATCTTCATATGTCAAGTAGCTGGAGCAGTTTTAACGCTTGTTATTAAAGATGATTCATTTTAGAGACATCTAGAATCGTATGTATTGGAGATATAACGTATGCATATATATATATATTCATACATGTACATACGTATGTGTATATGCATATATATATATATTTTGTTACTTTCATGGAAAAAATCTTACTAAACTAATAATTAATGGCAGTAAATTTGCATATATATATGTGTATATGTTTGCATATACATATATATATATATATATGTGCATGTATATGTATATATTTATATCACCTATAACCCAGTTAATCGTCAAGTGACTGGAGGTGACGTGAGCAACTTTTCCATCTATGCTTGTCACGTGCAAGAGCGCGGTGGATTTTTCTTGTTATGGGTACTCGTTTAGCATCATATGTTCTAGGGTTTTCATGAAGAACTCCTGCCATCGGATCGATGGGCTTCCTGCAGTACGTTTGACATCCCGAATGATCCATTCACTAAAGGCTATGATCTATCAATTGTCTTTCTGACGCACTATAGGTCTTGCCTCGCTTATCTTCGACAATTTCCTGTTTAGAACCGTTATTTCATCATTGGTTGTTGACGTAAGGCAGAGCTTTGGATCCCCTCCCTCACTAGTGTAGTCCCAGCATCGCTTTGCTTGTACGGTAGGCCCGTTCTATAAAGCATAAGTGGTCTTTCATCCTGCTTACGTAGCGATGTTGCTGACGCGTACGTTAAGGCCAGGGGAATCGTGAATTTCATAGCCTAGTTCATTCAATTTCCAATTTTTTGAGTCGAAAGGTGGGTACGTAGTTGTATGTTTTTACTCCTCTTCTTTTTATTCTCAGTGCCCTTGAAAGCTCCCCCAGTCCATCACTTCCTCTTACTCAGCTTTACAGCCATTCTTCATTTTGACTTTCCTATCGTATGGTATTCCTCTTCTATGAAATGATAGATAACTGGAGCATTCGGAGGTCCTGACAGTACTTAAAGTTATTGTGCATAATTTGTGGTCCAAATGCTGAATGAGATTCACTGGAAAACTTCTGCCTCCACCGTATTGGTAACGACAGCTTGCCAATCGACTGTTACTTGTTACACTGTTCGCTTCATATCTGTAGTAGGCGCTGAATTACGCTTATTTTTCGCTGCCGAGTGATTCATAAGTTACTCATGCAAGTCAGATCTACCAGTGCAAAGACATCATTTCTACTTCTCATTAGCAGAAGTTTTCTGAGTTACCTTTGTGCCGCAGAAATATCGTACTGCCTTGCAAAAATAATATTGTGACTAGGAGCTGCATGAGACGAACAAATTCGTTTTTTTTTTGTAAATTATATTCTACAGCCAGTAACGCCAGCAACCTTTCTTGGACGAAATGGTGAAGCGCGTGTTTGCAAGCCTGCCGATTTGATACAGAAATTGTAGGAACAAAACTTTGCACTAGAACAAACAGCTCAGATAAAGACTAGTAGTGCGTGCCTCCAGTCAACATGGATATGTTGTGGTGCACGTTTCTGTTGCAGTTGGTTTTTATGGAAGAATGTTAAAACTAGGAAAAGAAGATTTGTGATTTTGAATATTTGATTCTTCATCACATTGTTTCGTTTTTCAGAACACTCTTTGTTATAACTACGTCATCGTCGAAGGTAATATGCTGACTGAATGGCCAGATGTTATCGACTTGTGCGATCGAGTCATATTTCTAACTCTAGACCAAGTAAGTTAGAGTTTTTATCCAGTATTTGAGTTGTTACTAGGCATATTCTTTTTGCAAAATTTCCTACCAACAAATTAAATGCTTAAGACCTGTGAAAACGATTTCGATTATGTTATGTATGGCTCCGTTCCCAATTGAGGAAGAGGGAAGTGCAGTGGTTAGAGATGTTGTGCAACGTAAGGAGTGTACCTTCTGGTTCGATCACTCAAACCCTAGTTATTGTTTCCTCCCTCCTTTCAGATCCACGAAAGATGGTGACGTGCTCTAATAGAGTTATCCTTGGATTCCATAAATTCCCCTATCCTGTCTACATTGTATTCTTTTTTCAATAATGAAAAGTATTTGCCTTTAGTGTGCTTTAAGTGTATTTTTCTTTGTGGGAAAGAAAGTGAGTTTTACAAATTGTTATGGGAAAAAGGCTGATTTTCCACTTTCACTCAGTGTACCAAAAAAGTTGGTGAAGTATTACTGTTATCACAAGTTGGGAACACATTGAGAAACTGTTGAACATCACCGGGAAGCATAATACTTGGATACTGTGGTGCATGGGTGACCCATCTTTAGTTTTAAAGAGCGCCAGCATAATTTCCATTGATTCCTTTCTCACGCAATCGTCGTTCATGGTAGTGTTCTCTACGAACATAGTGAATTTCGCGTCGTCCATTTCGTACTCCTTAAATCGTTTCCATCTGCTAATGAAGGTGGTTGACGTTAACCACCAACACGTTCGCCCATCATTGGTGTGTTCTTCCAAGAGCACGCATGCATTCTCGTGAAGTTGTTTTCGCTCCACTGTTTTTTCGTCAACCTATCATCTGTTTTTATTAGGTTTTGCGCAGATTTTTTGACGTGGTTGATGTATCAGCCCATGTTTCTGCTGTGTAACAGGATACGTTCATAATCAGCTTGTAGATTATACCCACCTAACATTTTGGACAATACTTACGATGACCACTTCCACCACTCCTATGTAGAATGGTCTTGTGCGACGTCCTCCACTGGTTTGGGATTTCCTCCTTCTGAAAGATGTTGTATGGGTTTCGAGAAGTACATGTAATTTGTGAGCTCCAGCTTGGATGAAGTCGGCGATGATATCGTTTGGTCTTGGAGCTGTGCATATCTTCATCCCTTTGTTCCCAACTCAAAATTCCGAGGATATTATCTCGGGCGGTTTTTCCCGTGCGGCTATTTCGCGGTCCGACATGGTGAATGTGGAGCAGAAAAGATTGGTGTGGAACTTTTCCTTTATCAATTCCGTAGCATGGAGGAATACGCTGACACCAGAGTATCACCGTCGCACGAGATCCCGACGGCGCTTTTTCAGAATAATTTGTTTATGAGCACCTTCAAACAGCTTTTTGTCTGGAATGTTTCCACGGAGTAGACGGCGATCAGATCCTGTACAGAATCCAGTTACCACTGAGGTGTTAAAGACGCATTATTTTCTGTTCGTGGGAATATGGTAACTCTTCGCATGAGTCGTCGAGACTTCCACGGTGGTTTTCTATTTTCTCGAAAAATGAGTTCCCATGGAGGTGAAGTCCTTCAAACAAGAACCATGCGAGACGGTTTGCATTCTTATTTTGATATTCTGTTCTGGATTTCCCCATCTTGCATTCTTTTTCGTCGCCCCTTCCTTATCTGGCATGGAAGTATCCAACAACGAATTTATAAGAGTTTTCGTTGCAGTTTGCTTTCTTCATGTGGTTGTAGAACGCATCTAATTTGCTCACATTAGGTGTGTAAATCGGTGAGAAGCAGTTGATGATGCAGATTTTCTTTTGACTTGTAAATTGGAGACAAAAATTCACCAAGCGCAGTGATGGGATTTCTTATGAGATGACTAGAGGGGAAATAAATGAGTGAGTTAACACGTTTATTAACTATCAAACAGTTCCAACACTTTTTCTCAGGGGAAAGTTTGGCTTTGCTAAGTGTTTGGGAGCTTCAATAGGCCCAACTACTGTGCTGAACATTGCCTTTTGTCTAGCGCTCATTTTCCATCGTTCGTTAAAATACGTTCGGCGAATAAGTAGGTTTTTGTGTAAAGCAAGCACACAACCCGAATTCACAACGGCGATCTCTGCGCTTTTCCTTCAGTTCCTTCTGATATCCATTTATCGCACTTTTTTTGTTCTTCAAAACAGCGAATAGGTAAATACGGTAATGTTAAGTTTTCCAGCAAGCTGTCAAATAGTTTCCAGAGGTTCAGTTTCAATTATCGGTTTTAGGTTGCTGTCAACAACTGCTTTTAGGTGTTCACAACCTTTTTCGTCATCAATACTCATATATCCTGTACAGAAATTTTGCAACCAGGTGCTGCGTATTGTGCATTCGCAATCTTTCCCATGATCCACGGTTTGGTGACGTTTGCGGTTGCTTCCGAGGAAGTGTAGTATGTACAAATGCAATGGAAGCGTACTGATTAGCACTAATATTGAGAAATTCAATGTACCTATTGGGTTGGGTATCGGATTCTTGGGGTACCCTTCGATGCTGGGACGCGATTCTGAGGAACGGGGACTTCCACGCTGGACCACTGGAGCACCCACCGTGGGGAATATGTCACGGTGAACCTAGTTGAACACTGACGATTTTACGCTGTTGTGACAATACTTGAAACTTCGGTTTTCAAACCTCTTAGTATTGAGGATTCTTGCGGAACATGGTTTTGTTCGAACATTCTGTTTGGTTCTTCAATGTTTTTTCGAGAACCCATATAATCCTCTGTTTTGTGGTGCCATCGAGCAACGTCTACTGTCTTGCGTAGTACCGTTAGTTCATAGAAGAGCATGTTCTTTTCCTCTACTTTTTTAAATTTTAATCTTCATCTATTCTCAGCTTGTCTTCGTAGTCGTCGAATTGTTGTCAGGCATCTTTTCTAAGCCGGAAATTATTCTGGTTACAACAATAACGAATGAACTCAAGAGAGAGCTCGTAACGAAAGCGATTTTGATCAGCACGATAACCAGGGTCTTTCTGTGTCACATTCGATACAGTTTTTTTCTTGCTTTTCCATGTAGGATATTGTTTGCTTCCGAGTTTAATAAAAGTATGAGACCTAAACTGAGTTTTTCATACATTTAACGAGGCTGAATAAAACATGCCACCTCACCTTGAAGAAGCTGAGGCTGCCAATCCTTTGTTTTTTTTTTGAAATTTCTACGTTTTTGGACGCATTTTTTAATTTACTAGGAGATTGCCAGAATAAATATGTTAGAGGAGTAGGAAATATGTGGAGTAGAGAGGAAATGCAAAGATATTTTGTGGAACGTCTATTTATAAAGGGTTAAGCTCAGCGTCGATCAATCCTTAAGGGATGCGTAACGCTTTTGATCTCATCAAGCATCGATGGAAGTGATTGAAATGCATATCTGGCCTTTACAATGACCTGTGGCCTATCGGTGCATCGAGTCAGCGCTGCTATCCTCCCATACAAGTCTGGTACCAATTTGCGGACCCCGAAGAGATGGAATGTTAGGTGAGCCGGGGCGGGTGGATCGATCCCATGCGTATTGCGGGGTGCCTGCGACCAATGTGCTACAAGAGCCCTCGCATTGCTAATACTGTATTGGGAACTCTAGTGGAGCGCTAATTATAAGACAATAAACTGTGTACTACAGAATTATTGCAATTTTAGTCTACATGTCGGCGTCGAAGGAGCAATCGTAAATACGATCCACCTGACGTTCCGGGTTATTTTGAAGAGGTTGCGTGGCCGGCATACCAGCAACATTTACAAAAAGCTCTTGCACTTGCAAGAGAAGATTGCCATATCTCATTTCTCGATGTGACATTATACGCGGACCAACCAGATGAAAATATGGTGTCGGTGGGTAAATATCAAATCTTTGTAGTCTTTGTGGAATGAATATAACAAATGACTGTCAATTCCGAAGTTTTCCATCGCTCAGAGTAGATCATTTTATAGTTGATCCACGCGTTTTCGGATGACGTTATCCGCATTTGCTATGAACCATTGGACGTTGGTGAGGCCGTGCGATTAATTAACAGGTACAAAAATTTTGTTTTGTTGAATGGTGTTTTGAATTCAGCACCAGCTTATGTCGCTTCAATTTTAGCCCAACATGTGGAGCAACTTCTGTTTTTGTGGGCACGACCCGAGATACTTTTAATGGGAGGAATGTTGCACGTCTTGACTATGAAGCTTATGATGAGATGGCCTATAAGGTAAGTTTCTATGATGTATATATGCGGATATGGTGGGTCTTATTTATCCTTGCATATTTATACGAAAAGACTATGTTTATTCAGGAACTACGTAAACTTTGTTCTCTCATAAGAAGCAAATATCCATCTGTTGAACGTGTTGTGATTTTTCATAGGTTGGGTTATAGCGTTTTATTCCAGTGGTATTACTAGTTGTAACACTTTATGAGAAACTAAAAAAAGTCGGATCGAGAGTTTTTTTTGAAAATCATTTTGTTCATCGTTACGTCACCGTGTTTTCAGAATAGGAGAAGTAGCTGTCGGTGAAACATCTGTGATAATTGCCACCGCTTCTCCACACCGCAAAGACGCTTTACATGCAACCGAAATGGCTATAGATGAACTTAAAAGAGCTGTGCCGATTTGGAAAAAGGTTTCGTCTAACTTTTTCCAAGTACCAAGATATTCTAATGTTTTATCTCATTCGTAGGAAGTATACGAGGATGGTGGTTGCTCTTGGAAAGAAAATGCAGAATGGTGTTCAGGTGAAGATTCAAAAGAATCTACGGAAGAGAAGAGTTTTGCACAAGCTAGCAGGTTGTTTAGTTCATCTTTCTAGGGGATTGAGTCATAAGTTTTTGCCGAAATTTAGCACATTTTTGCCTTTCCACTTTATTTTTTGGGAATCGAACTTCATTGGCGGTATGTTCACCGTGGTGATTAAGAGGATTATACCGTTTTTGAATAGTCTAGAATTATGTTCTCTGAACAATTGTCGGTAAAGGCTTTTGTTCGTCTGGTATAGTTCGTGCAGAATTGATGATTTCGGACGTTTTGGAGTTATTGTTTCAACGTATCTTCTGGACTCTGTTGTATAGTATTCCCAACACTGCGGTGGTGAGCTTTTGCCGACAACTTTTACTTCCTTTAATGCTTCTTTTATCGTTCAGTACTAGAGATGCAAATCGGAGAGTGTTCTGGTTACGACAGATGGTCAAGCAAATGAACACGAAGCCTTCATAATAACCAAAAGCAGATGACCAGATCTAGGACTATCTCTACGATTTCAATCTACTAGCTACGTTATGTTAGTACTATCTCATTTAATACTTCTTTGGAATTATGCGATATTGATCTGCTTGTTGGCTAATTGTTGAATTCCTTAGTTTTCGAGATATGTAGCCTAAGTTTATAAAGGAAACTAGTGGCATTATTTCTTAGTTTTTCTTTTTCAAGTTATAGTTTATTGTTGCAGAACATTACCAACAGTCAGCTGCACTAATTTTAAAAGTTGTTCAGTTTTGCACTTGTTTTTGGTTTTTGTATACGTTCACTGTCTTCGAAGAAGATAAACTCTTAGTTCAAGATTTCCTACAGATTTGCGTAGATCATATGTCCATCTTAGTTAGAGTTCGGTCCCTGGACTAGCATACTTAGCCTTTGAGCCCGTGAATACGTTGTGCGTTTGTTACTGATGGCTTTATTCCGATATAGTACAACCAACAGTCTAAAACTGAAGAGGAGATATTTTACTGCCTCTGACAGGGTCGTTTTTGGTCTACAAATTTCGGATTTGGGAAACTGAATGTTCAGTGTAACATCAATGGTGCTGAGATATTTGCAAAACTCCGAACCGCAGGTGCCTGCGGTGGGGAGGCATTGATGTTATATTTCGCAATATACCCTGCCATTAAAAAGAGTAGGCAGTGAATAAAACGGTTAAGATTCAGTGTAATACTTGGCGAAGAGAATAACAACTAGTGTAGTTTAATTTCATTCATATCTATACATAGACTTCACATCAATTGAGGCTCACGTACGAATCCCACGAAGCAGTAGAGTTCCCAGTTGTGAGAGGGTGATAGGTACATTTTATGCCAGGTCTTTGGTGTCTATTCCAAGATGTATATTCATCACAGTCTAAACGCGACGACTATAGATCCATTGAGGGCAGAGGGAACGGCCTCCATATTCAATATTTACAGTTAAAACAGTAATGTAGTCATAAACGATCATTTTCATGCCATGCATACTACTATGTACACTACTATGGGTGCCAGATAGTTATGAATGGCCCTATTGAGCTGGCATTCCAGTTGTACCCTTCCGAATTTAACGGCGTTCCATAGAAGTTTTGCGGGTTCTCATGGCCAACCTATCCAGATGAATTTAACAGTAGGTTTGAATGCTGGAATGCATACTATTTGATAAGCGAGAGTTTGTGGTACTTGCGTAGGCTTCAATATGAGACGGCGCTAAAGACACCTTCATTGGAGCCCTGAAACCAGTATTTCCAGAATTCTAACGCTTAGTATTGACCAATGACCTAAGAATATCCATATTTTAAAAGTTAGGGTGGAATTGAAATATTCTGACGATACCTTGCCCTAGTCAGCAATAAGTTGAGTAGTGTCCCGGAGGCAAGTCCAATGCAGAACAAAAATCCTGACCATGGGCTCACTGGAAGATTAATTTCAGTCAACCGCAAAACGGAGTTCCACGATTTTCATTGCTTGCGTCTCTATGGAGACATCGTTAGTAATATCTAGGGGCCGCTTCATATAAGCTTATGTGAGGCGGTAGTTCCTCGTGATCGCTATGAGCTATCACCCATTTCCACCTCCAAACGAAGTGAGTATCACTTTACTATACCCAGCCAGTATTAATGGATGAAAGATATATTTATTTATAAGAGGGATTTGAGCAGTCAACTTCTTAGACAAAGCACTCACGAAATTGCGCTGTGTTCGTGACGACCTCTCGTTGAAACACTTCTGTAGTACACGGGACTTGTGTGGGCGACTCACAGAGGCACTGCACTTTACCTTAACATTCCATGAAATACAGGTGAATCCCTTTGAAATCGGTAAGCAAAAGTGCACAGTGTGACGAAACTAATAATTCTGCTAATTATTTTTTGAACAGAGCAAATTTTCTGATATGTAGGTCGGACCCTCTCAACGGTTTACTGCCAGGTGTTCCTGGGTGTCGGGCTGCGATGTACAGAGAGGACTCATCATCAGACATGGTTTCGCAGGCTGAGAAGGAGTCCGGCGTTTCCATCAGGAAGCCTGGCTACGAGCAAGCCAGTATTAGAATCTACCATCGTCTTAGTATCAAACTAGTCGCATGGTGGCAAATCTCCCTCCGATCCACAATGGCGGAGATTGCTTGTGGTGGTGACCACCTGGGGCAGACTTTGGCCAGGCAGACCTCGAGACTCCAGGGAAACACAATGGCTAAGCCAGCGAAATCCCGAAAAATGGAGAACATGCGGTGGACTGCACAAACAGTGGGGACGGGCGGTTATCCAAGTAAGTAGATGGAAGATTTTTTTAAACTTCGATTATTTTCTGCATATTTTTCGTGAATGCTTCACAAGAATAAAATACTTCTCCTAATGGGCGGAACATTAGCCAAATTTCTGGAGAACCTACTGAGCAGTGGAGGTTTCGTGGTCGTGATCCTCTCTCCAACTTGGTTGCGACATTTTGTAACGTCTTGTGTTAAATATTCTCGACGACTGCAAAAAATAACAATGAAAGCAGTAGATGACGAACAAGTCCTTGCGTGTTGTTCGAGATCCGAGACCGTTTTTTCAACGGATTTTCCAATCTTCAAATTTCAAACGAGAAGAATTGAGCCTTCTTATATTTGTTTAGCCTCCAAGCTATTTAGTTCTCTAGAGGTTACAAGCTCGAGAAACCTTCGACTGACTCGTATTTCTTTGAAAATATTACCCACTATATATTTTCACTGACAGCGACACACTCTGCTCCATGTAGAATCCATGCGCATTCGGGGTCTCTCATGACAAGGCAGTCTGAGCACGACTGGTGACGATGACATATGGAAGACGGCAGCAAAGTGAGCTAAAGTTGACTTTGTATATAGCTTACAATACGCAAGATCAGGGATTTCCCGAAGTTTTCGGACGAGCGGCTTAATTGCAATGAAGAGCGCATTCTGATTAACGAGCCAATCCTACCTGTGTGGGGGTTAACAAAAGTATCATCTTAGCTGACTGCCGGTTCTGAAGCCGTTTGACATGAGCCGATAGTGAAACAATAGGTGATCCTGCCTGCAAAGTTCACGCTTGATTGAATTTACACGATTTACTTCCAAAGAGTAAGGATACAGGAGAATCAAAGATTTTTCTAAAAGGAATACGGAGTTTCTAAAAGGAATTTATGCTGCAATTTATGTTGATCCAGCAATAGCTTGAGTTATGAAGGTCTCCGAACTTTTTGTGTGTGGGTGCTGTTGCCGCTTGAGGATTTAGGCCTTCTTTATGGATATCGGTTTAGTACATGTTCCCTAAACATGGAAGACTGTGAGCGTGATCCTATTATTTGCTCATCAGGGAAACAGTGAAGTATTGATCAATACTGAGGTTAATCGAAGGTTGGTCCTGGGTTATCTTATAAGATATAACGTTTCTAACATGGTATCCAAGTATTAGGAATTGCAAAAACTCTTCTGAATGGAGGAATAATGAAATTCCTTAACTAGTTCTGGTCCCCATTTACTGTGCTGCTTAATAACGCTGTCGTAAATATGGAAAGCAAAACGGAAGTCCAGTTGCCTATTTCTCTCCATTAGCTTTTATTTCTACTAAGTAATTTTCACTGATGATTAGACTCCAGGGCACCAGAGGTGGTCTCGCAAAACCTTCGAGGTAGCTGGTTCGTCCTGCGATCTGGGCGAAGCAAACCCTCAATCCAGTCATTCTATTGACTAAATGCGCATTCAACCATCTCTATGATGTTTAATACAGTCCAATGCATGGTACAGCTTCCAGGCGTTGAGTTGATCAATGCCAAACGTTTTGTGTTCCTTCTTTTAATCCTTGCTGACGAGCCACAGATCCACCGTACCCTTCCAATGTTCATTGTTGAAAAACTAACCTCCACTGCCTTGAATGTGGATACGTGTCGTGCTTCTGGTTCGACTGAGTTTTTGACAATTTTGAATAGTTTCCCTTGATCAGTTCCTACGAAGAAAATAGTACTATGACGACCCGATAAATCTGTAACAGATTAGGACAGAAACTAGCCTTTTATTTACAATGGTATTATGCAATACAAATTTCAAAAAGATTAAAACATTGATGGGGTTCTTTCAACATCGACCTCACTTGTCCTTCAGTTATTTGCAACTCCTTTGCTTCCCATAAGTAACTATTCAAACATACCAACCAGCTGAGGGAAAGGTGAAACGAAGAACTAGCATGGCATAGTAGTGAACGCGTTAACCCCGGAAAGGGTGGTAGCGTGTTCGATTCCCACCTCAGATACATACGGTCCAGAGTTTTGCAGATAACTCAGCACCATTATGGTTGTATTAAAAATGTCAACATTTAGTGTTTAGGAAAATTTATGCGTGGAGTATAAATATGGCGCCGCATTCCAGTAAAAACGACCAACGACTGAAGTGTTGCCCTTGATCCTTCCTATGGCATATTTTTTCTTCATTGGAGTGACATTTTATTGAGCAAATACACTCACCAACAACGTCTTCCTGGACGAGAATCTCGGAAAATCGATCTTTCCCATAGTGCACAAAGAGCGGCGACGTGGAGAGCTCTGCAACAGGGCCAACAGTGCTTATTTAAAATTAGTAATTTTTTAGCTTAATGAAGGAAAAATGTCTTAATGTCTACAGATCTGGCTTATGACCTTCTTTCTTCAAGTCCAGTACTGTTTTGGAAAAGCACTGAGTACATTGACTTCAGAAAAACAATGTCATGCTAAAGATGTCATACTGCATAGGAAAAAAAAATAGTGAATGATTGTGGACAAGAGAAAATAACACTCACTAGTGGGAATGAGAGGATTGTTCCGAATGTAGGTGTGCTCGTAGGTGTCGTTGGCCTTCGGACAAGCCGTTTTCCTGTTTCTGAACGCGCTTGCCATTCGCTGGGAGACGGTAGCCCGAAAGTAGGCGCAGATGGCCGAACCACCCAGGCCGGCCAACTGCGAACGAAAAGCTCCGTAGATGAGCTGCATGCCCGCGGCTACGGAGGCGAACTGAAAGACAGGACGTGTTGCGCATCAGATGATAGCAAACAGACTGCGGAAAATGATTTCTGAATATGTGGAGTGCTTGCTTCTTGGGGAGATTGGAAATCTCACCTTCGATGTTGTGGAAACGTGACTCATAATGGGGTACCTCGGATATTGATTTATTCATTATGATTTATCTTTTGAAACATTCAAATAGACAATGAGATTCTCGTCGATTATAGTAAGGAAAAGTGGTTTTCTACAGGTTTCCTCGTGGGTTTCTACTTTGACTTCAACAATGGACACTTTGACACAGTAGGCATAAGGTGTGAGAAATAAGTGACTAAAGCACCTGGTTGAAATGCAGAGTATCCTGATCCTTGCCCTCGATGGCACAATCGAGTGGACTCTTCACAAATGAAGTCCATTCATGGTGATGCTTTCCGCTGAAACATGAAGTTCGTATGTCTGTTTTCTTTATTGAAGTTCGGAAAACAACAATGTAAACTGACGATCCACCAGTGTCGTCACGACAGACGCGACCAATCCGAGCTACCCGTCTAAGACCGCAGTCCTCACTCTCTGAGGACGGCTCGGAAAAGAATGCAAGCACCTCCTGAAATTGGATTCAATGCTTGAACTTTTGCTGAATGGGATGTCGTCTCCTACAAAGCACCTGCCATGAAACCTGCAAAGCATTCGAGAAACTCTAAGTATATGGCAAATAACTGTTTCTAACTGAAATTTGGGGAAAAGTAGTACATCGGTAGTGACGCAGTTCATCACAAGTACGGTGCTAGTTTATCCCGCCCTGATTTAGCAAGCCTGTCGCACATCCGGAGTTGGGAAGTTGGTAGCAGATCTGTCTGGAAATAATTGACCCTATGCAATCTAACTAGGAACGCTTCAGGCTCAAGACTCCAGGGGTCCGAACCGCATGGCTACCTCAGGACTCGAACAGTATTCATTCAACGACATTCGTAAAGAAGACGACAATGCTCAATCATCAGCAGAGAAGACTCACGCAAAAGGTACGATGCTGGTAGAAAGGTACTCGAAGAAAGTCGCAAAGCAGCAACCCTCCTTCCGTTCAACAAAAACAGATGAACGCTCGTGATAATGGTACTAAGTCCTTTGATTCAAACAACGAAAAGTTTACTTGGACCGAAACATATCCGTTAGAGAGAAGAAATTGTATCAAGACCTGTACACGTTTTTATGAAGAGAGGAAATCGTATTTAAGTATTAAATAGGTAAACCGTTCATTACTTCGTACTCGTCCCAAAATTTCCTCAATTGATTCCTAAGTCTTCACTGACTTCTTTCGCATCTTCCTCATGTTCTTACACACATTTTCATTTCCAATCCGCAGATGATCTCTCTATTACCTTTAGCATAAGGAATAGCCATATTTCATCGAAGACGTTTACTGTAGTTTTTAACTCCAATAACCCTACACAAGTCAGAGTTTTACGGAAACTCAAAAATTCATTGAGATCGCAATTTTTATAATCGTTGCAGACCAGAAGCACAATTCGACCACTTGCCTTAATAACGCATTTTTAACAAATCTTCCCCATTGATAAGCTAACATGGGATCGATAGAAGAAATTATTCGGCCAATGTTTCAGAGCCATCGCCTTCCTCAGACTCGAATTGATTCTGTTCGATTGTCCACAGTTCTTCTTTCCTCCGACATGGGTCTTTGTGATCGCATAGGGTCGGATTCGGTGGAACACCGCTCGAATGAAGTAATCTCACCCGGCAAGCCTTTTACACAGGGCAGTTGTTGATGATAGTGATTATCCTTTGATAATCGTTTGTTTTTCTGCTACCAGTCCTTTGTCCGCAGTCGGTATCATTATCAGCTAGAACAGAGCACAATAGTATTTCAAGAACAGACTTTCCTTTAACCTCGTAATGAATAATCGACATTTTTTTCACTGATAGGCTAACACTCTTCTGTGTAAAAAATCACGAAGACTCACATCAGAAGAAGGAAGAACTGTGGACAATCTATTCGGATCAATCCGGTTCTGAAGAAGGCGGAAAGCGCTTACACCTTAGCCGAGTAGACATTTTTTACTAACCTCGTGTTACCTTATCGGTGAAAAAAATATGTGCTGATCAGTTATGCCGAGTTCAAAGAAAACACGGTTTTTCAAATATTTTTGGTATTTCTTCGTCCTGACCTTTCATCTGTAGCGTCAGTCGATCCTTCGCTGGAGTAGAAACGCGGTCACCACCCACGAAATCCTCTAGTTATCGAAGAATTATTGTTTACTTCCAAAAAAGCAGCAATTCCACAAAGGCTGAAAATCCGCAACAAACCCGGGATTAGGCGTCTTCGCTAGAGTGTGAAGCATTCGCGACTCTTGAATGAGTGCCGCTTAGTACAGCGTTTAGAGGTGCTCTGCAATGCAGAGGCAGTCTTTGGTTCGATCCCAAGGCCAGGTGTAGGCAAGACCTTCATTCTCCCGCTGTTGGAAAATTGGTAGGAGACGTCTAGAAGGATACCAGCACTGACTTGATACATTGCTAGGCTCTGAAAAATTACTGTACATACAAACATGTAATCAGTAACCTAAACGATGCATGACGAACAAATTCGAATGCACAGCGATCTTTCAGGGATTGATCTACAACAAAAGCCTCATCCATATCTTAGCTTTTTATTCGAAATTAACTTTTTTAGTCACTGGTTTTTCTTTGCAGATTCATAAGCCTATTACGACAACCATTAGCAATAGGAATCCTTCAAGATCGATCTCCCTTAAATTCTAGCAATCAAAAATGAAAGCTGTTGTAGTCTTGAACCAATTTGAAGTTGTCTATTGTTAACAATATTGCAATACAAATATATTAGAACAACCAAAATCACAGAAAACTGCATCTGAATAGTCCAGATACATCTGGAACCTGGGAACGAAAGCCAAAAGACAAACTAAGACCATAGTCGAGACATTTTTGCTATAAAATCATTAGCATAATGATTATAAATTGCAGATGAACTGACATGTTTGTTCTCGATGAGCTTGACAAATTGCGTGCCATCGGTCTGCGTTTCGCCTCGGCTTGTTCGCAGCATGTCCGATGTGCCGACCTTTAGTGGATCCTTCCTCATCAGAAGAAGGTCCGTTGATGAGTAGTCAGGTGCTAAAAAATTTTTGCATTGTGCATCTTTTCAACCGTGGGTGTCACTGCACTGATGAGACACAGGTAGACCCATTAACATGAAAGAGAGACAGAAATAGACAGTCATCCCCTCGAATAGAATATTTTCTATACCACCGTGTGCTTCCTATATTAACTATGTTTACCGTTAGCCACATTTACCCTGGAATTCCAAAGCATTTCTCTAATCTTGTGCTAGCATGTGTCATATTCATCTGGCTTAGCTTTTGCACTATAGCTGACTGGAAAACGCTTGTAATCCCATGGCTTGCCAACAATTGCACACTCGAAAACCCAATGGTAGAGGGCCGGTAGCTTTGTTACATGATGACAACTGCATTCCTGCAAAACGTTAGCTGAAAAAGGAATCACGTCCATTTCCGAACAAAGGGAAGCAGTAGTTATCCTTTTTTCACTCTTAGATTCTGTCACAGCTTCCATATTGTTGCTTAATCACCTCCCACTGTATGTTTGAATTGTTAAACTCTACTTCACATGATCAGCAGGGCACCTTAAGCATGTGCTTGCCCTAATCACCAAGTTCGGAAAAGAAAGCAGCCTGATCGAGGAAGAGTCATGTATTACTCATATCGTCCAGAATGCATTAAAACAGCAGTACAGTAAAGGATAAAATAAAGCTATCGCCGTTGATCAAACCTGAAGGATTCGTCATGCATTCAACTTCATTAAGCATCGTTGGAGATGAATGAATTGATAACTGGCCCTTACAATGACGCAAAGTAGCCTACATCGTACCAATTTGTCGACCCCGGAGTGATGGAAGGCTTGGTAAGCCTTAGGGGCGCGAGATCGATCCCTTATGTGTACTGCAGGGCGCCTCCGACCACTTCGCTGCACACGCTCTAGCAGTATAGTGGCCATTCGATCGTGTTTATGTAAGTAGTATTATTTTATGTTTAGGAAGAATCTCACTAAAGATTATTCTAGAGTGTGAATACGATTGCGTAGGTTAAGACTAAAGCCCAAGAGAAAATGGTAAATTCAAGCGTACCGTTAGCAGTGTAGAGATGTCGCCCAGAGAACAAGAATGGGGCGACGACGTCTGGCGCGTGTGGAGCGAGCCCGTCGCCCGCGAACGTCTTCTGAGGACCTGTGATTTAGAACGTTGACACGATTGCAAAGTTACTTTGTAGCCGTATTCATTATAGCGGTTGACAGAGTTAAGAAGTCATAGTTGACACAAGTGAAGCCGATCAGCTACGAAAAAGTGTTCTCTCAGTCGAATGACTGTGTCGTTGATGGGTTATTATCAATCTGTTGAACCAAAGTCTATAGAACCAAATTCAAAAAGGAAACATAACATTGGATGATAAAGTCATAAGTATGGAAGTGAAGTTGAAAATGAGCTTAACAAGCAGCAACGAAGGAGTGAATTTCGGATGAAGGTTAAAAAGAACAGTAAAGAAAAACGAACTTCTTTCGCGTTCGACAAAATTCGCACACGTAGGGTTAAGGCCGTGAGTGCCACATACCACGAAACCGCTATGAGTGAGGTAGAAAGTGCGGATGTAGTTGTCACAGAAATTCTAAACTCACTACAAAATTATTCGCAGTTATCATCACTACATCATTAGAGAACTCTGCAAGTTGACCAATTATGACGCATAACTGACAACATGCATTGACATCAGTGCGCATTATTTCCGAATGTTTGCTTTGTCTCCAAGTCTTTTTTGGACTCAATCGATACCATGAAAAGTCTTTTCTCCGAATTTGACAGTTCTCAAGAAATCCTTTTTTGAACCAGTTCATTGGTACGATTTGAATCTCGCCGCGTGTACTAACACCTCTGCTTCATTTTCAAACTGAGGTTCCACGCCTTGAGATACTTTAACAACACAATAAAATGGTAAACCATTAAGCAAACTTGTATTGCGGTGTTTGTAGTATGTAGAAGTAGACATGTGTAGAAGATGTATTCATCTATGTGTGCAGTACGCCTTTGGAAAATTTACAGATGCTCATTTCCTATTTCTCACGGCCATTCACTGCCGCTGTGAATGTTGTGCTGAGGAACATCTATCTAAGAGTCTACAACTCTTAGATGTAACACTTTTTGCATACTAGTCACAGTCAGCAGAACCACCACAAGCTGCAACCTCTTCAATGTAAGCTTTTTGCATACAATTTCCATACAGTTATAGCCATTACAAAACCTCAAGCTTTACAGTTTATAGGTTTGCCCTTTTCAATTCCTCGCAGCAAGACCAGTAAATGGAGTGATTCTAAACAATTTATCTCGTCCTTCATACTATGTATTGCTGGCCAAATGGTTGTGAGCCAGCAGCGTTTCAAATCTGTGCCATTTTGAACCCAACATGATCGAATGCAAAACTAAAGCAGGCGCTTAGATATTCTCCTAATTGTAGCATTTCACAAACCCCATCTAAAGGCAGTGACGAGTGAGCATTTTCATCTTTACCAATTTCCACGAACTCATCCTTCTGTTCTTCGTATTTGTTAGTCCTCCCTAGAATACACTCCACATTCATTGTTGACGGGTAGCACAAAAGACTCCATCAGTTAACTCTTGTTGATCAGCCAATATAGTGGTGAGCTCAGGGGGCTGATAGCAAAGTGGTAGTGATATCCGTCATCACCAGCATGGTGCTAGTTCCATTCCGCTCCGGGCCAGCCATTCGCTCTAGCTTTCATCCCTTCGGGCCGGGAAATTAGCACCGAACTTGTCCGGGAAAAATCATTCTCTGCAATCCAACTGGGAACGCACCAGCTCGGCTATTTCAGGACTCCAGGGAGAATTGCTCGATCAGCATTCTACGACGTTCAGGTGAAATTGAAGTCCTCAAGCAGTAACCGAAGGCCACGCGTAAAAGTTGGAAGACCTTCGCGGATAATGGATAGGACGACACGAATCGAATGATAGAAGTGCTCGGATCCGCACAGTAGACGTGAAGGCGTATCAAATAAAATAAAATAAAATGAAAAATAAGCATGAAACTCAATGCGCTTCACTACGAAATAGTCCAAGGCTACAAAGGCTTCGATTTTTGATCAGGAGTTGGTTGTTTTTCTCCGATCGCTGTGATGAGTTATCACATGCAATTGGCAGATACGAGAAAACACAAGAACGTAACTCATGCATCATACGGAATTTTTCAACAGTTGAGAGCAGCGTGACTGGATGATGGACGAGTTCTTCTTAATCCTACATAAAACCTCTAATATGTTCTGAAAACATAGGAGAATAGAAGATAAGCAAAGAAAGAGACAAAGACGTAGAACAGCAGAACTCAATAAAATGGAAGTAAAAATATGTGAACCTGAATTATAGGGAAGAAAACACTGCATGGTCACGCAGAGTGGAAGAAATGCAGTGCATGTATTGATTTCAACACATATCGCACAGTTAAGTATTGCGCTTAGTCCTAAGTGGCCTCTTAAACGTTACTGTAGTGGCGAGTTTGATAGGGATTATGACAGTGTCCTTTCAGTTCTCGGAAAGCAAAATGTGGAACCCGACAATTTGGTCAGAAAGAAATGCGAGGAAACGGGAGGAATCTTTTTTTTGAATAGTGCAGTGATGGATTGAGTGAATTTGACATACCCGTCACTGGACGAGGCTTTTACATAAGCCGAACGACTTTACAGTTCGTTAGGACACCATTTTTATCGAAATGCAGACAGGAAGTTAATGAGTCCCCTAGGTTGGCTAAGGCTAGGAGGAACGTTTCTACCACTATGTCGAAGCTCACAGGGCACTGACGACAACGAATACCTCGTAAGTTAAAGTAGCCAAGACAGCAAATGAAATGACATTCACCATGTTTATCTGCCACTCAAAATCCAGAACCGAGTTTATGTGAGGCTGCATAAAAGAAGTAGTTATTTTGGATGTTTTGGCACCTTGAAGGCTTGTACTGCATTTGTATAGGCTTATGAACATGGCAAGTTAAATCGAATTTGGTTTCTAATAATATTTGTTTGCCCTGGGTCAGTTAGTAATATACAATATCGACATCCCAAGAATGAAGAGCTGTGGGCATTTCGCTGGAATAATTGTGGGTCTGGCGAAAGCGATCGGTGTCGAATTGCAATTTGCAGCGCAGATTTTACTTCCTAGTAGGGTTTTTCAAGTTGAGAAGCTAAATATTTGCATCAGCAGGAGCCGCAACTACGAGCAAACCAGCGCCCAGGAATCAGTGCCGTTCTGGGGACAATAGACGGTAGATAGCAAGTAATGAGGACTTGGAATAGCCTAGCACGACTTCGGAATGTGCAAGGAAGGAAAATATTGCCCAAACAGAGAATTCTCGGCGAATGTAAACTGTGATGGTAGCCTCATAATTCTTACTCATAATTCTTCGTCATTCGCTTTGAGAAGGTGGGGCATTCAAATAATCATATAAAACTTCCATGAGACCATGCGAATTGACCTACGCTGCGGAACCCATGCAAAATAAGAATTTTCTAGAGTGAACGACTGACGACATGATGTAAAAAATAGAGCTCGATAACCCTGGATCGAAGCAAGTGCTGAAGTCATACCGAGTCTTTGTCGTTGATTAAAAAGTCTTCACACATTATCTCAAGCTTACAGACATTCTTAATTCTCATAGTAAAAACTAAAGACAAAACCGAAGTAAAAATTCACTGTTCTGCTTAACCTCATCGATAAGCCAACACATTTGTGTTTTGTTGGCAACAGGCAACGAAAAGAGTGCAGTTCTCTAATCCAATGATTTGAGGTGGCACTAAAGGTCGGATCGTCGAATAGCCAATTCTGCCTGGCTACAATTTACATGCCAAGGTTGGATGACGTTTTTTCACTGCAATTTATTTATTTGCGCAAAACTTAGCCTTTGAATTGGTACCAATAGACGAAAAATGTTAATATACGAAGGATTGCTATACTCGAAGATGGTCATTCCTTTCTGAAATGCGGAATTCGTTGAAAATCATGGTAATTAGTAGTTGCGATTATTTGGTTCGACATTACAGAATTTTCTTCAAAGAGAAAGGTCTGCATAAAATCCACACTGCTACAAGTTCTCTTCTTTGTTTAATAGACACTTAGTGTTCACTACTCCATTGGTCGAAAATGTATACTATCATTGTTTTTTCTAAGATACTCCCAACGGTTTACCACCTCATCTTGGCTAGGAGGTGTTCCTGGGTATCGGACTGCGATGTACAGTAGGGAGATTCGTCCCCTCGGCAGGGTCGCCCAAGCTGAGGAGTCAAGCGTTTCCATCAGGAAACCTAGCTAAGAGTAAACCAATGCCAGGATACACCACCGTCTTAGTATCAAAGTCGCATGGTGGCAAATCTCCCTCTGATCCGCAAAGGCTGCGACTGCCTGTCGTGGTGTTGACCCGGGGCAGACTTTGGCCAGGCTGTCCTCGGTTCAAGTATCAAGTAAGATACTCTTAAACAAGCGGTCATCCCTCAACGAGGACCGAAACTTCACTATGAATCCCTCGTTTTCAAGACTCCACAGAGAAACCTCTCTGGTGTGGTAACTTCGTAGAATTCTTACAAATGTCGCGTTCACGATGACCCTCTGATACCATGCATTCCTACCCACTCGCTCAACTCATAGGGTTGAAGAGGGTAACGTACCCATGCCTATCGAACTAGGCGCCATAGCTCAGAATGAACTTGTAAGACAAACATGGGTGTGGCAGCGTTTCAGCGCGCGTTGTCAATCACGCAACTTGCAGAATACGTAGCTGAGTTCGCTCACCAGTGACGTCGTCTTCTTCGTGCACTCAAGAAGGTCCTCGTCAGACGTCGGCCACTCGTATTTGAACACAACAGCAAGTGGAGTGATACTCACATTAAAAATGACGTTCCTTAAAGTATCGCCTGTAGTTATTTTAACGAAAAAATAGCTAAAATTATCTCTTCTTTACTTTGAAAGCTCGAGAAAACGCTAATAATCAGAAGGGTAAAAGAGTGACTTGATGAGTTCTCATCTGTTAGTGAAGCGAATTGAATCAAACTAGGAAAAGCTCGACTCTATGCATTATTCAAGAAAATATGGTGCACTATGACTAAAATTTTCGGAGATCTCCTTAATAAGTTGGATTCACCACCTGCCACCGAGCAACACGTGCAGACCGTAGTTGTGCAGAAGAACAAGCGAGTCGTCGGCGGCGAATCGTAGACGACTTGTCGCTGCAAAAACGGAGCTGCAGTGCTCGATCCGAGTTCGAAGTTCATTTGAAAAACCGCTTTCAATTCGCAATACTGCTGTTTCTTTCTACTTCTGTTCAGCAAACACGAGATTTTACTTAATTTCTTTATTTACGTACAAGCTGACGTTTCGGCGGATTTCGCCTTCCTCAGAGCCTGGAAAGGTCAAATTGACAACAATCTACACGGCCAAACACCTCCATATTCAAACAGAAAAAATGCTGAACCAAAATTTCAATCACATTGAACACAGAGTCTTTACACACTCACCGCTTTCTATGAGCCTTCCACTAAATATGTCACGTGAAGACCAATCGAACAGAGTTCACACGGAATCGTATTGTGGCCATCTCATCAAAATAACAGGCTTATATACTGCCCAATATCACGCGTGATAATGAGGCATTCCTCCTTGCGGTTCATTTTCGGATTCTTGGAATTAATCCGGAATGCCTCTAGAATTTTGCGCGCTTGTGTTCTCGATTCTTGCACGAGGATCCTAACCCCTACTTCAAAATCTTCTCCGTTATATCTCTGCGTCCTATGCGTGCCTAGTGGAGTATTTGGTTTACTTTTGCCGACTAGGTGTTCTTTTATGCGCACGCAGAGTGGTCTACCCGTTTCACCAACGTATTCGTCCCGCACGCTTTCCAAGAGATCAGATAGACTGTGACCGAACTCATGCAGTCACCGTCTCCACCGTTAGAGCAAATTATGCAGTTTTTCGTTATACATAGACGGTCATATAGGCGGTTGCGTACTAGCTGGGGTCTTAGAGTGTCCGATGGTATTTCTATCACTCTTACGGAATTCTCTAGACTGGCCCTTCCTAAACAGCGTTTTATAGCTGCACTTACTTCATTTGAAATAAAGGGCAGTATAAACGGGACCTTGTTGTCGCTAGAGTTATCGCTGGGCTACCTGTGGTTTCCTCAACACCTATCTCGAGCTACAGTTTCGTAGCCATTAAAAATGGCTATTTGCCGCGCCAAATTCCGGGACTCCTCTCTCTACTGTCTTCCTGTGCACACGCTGGTAGATGTTCGAAACATGTTTCTCACAAGCGCCCTATTCGTGTGAGAGTGGTGAGAGGAGAAATAATGAACCAAGATGTTTTTACTACTTGGCTTTCGATACCATTTCGTAATGTAGCCATTTTCTGACAGGTTAATTTGGGCGTTCAGGAATTGAAGCCAGTTTTCTTTCGGTTTTTCTCGGGTGAATTTAATATACTCTGACTGTTCGTTCAACAACTCGAAACATTTGCCAATTTCTTCTTGAGTTGAACAAATGACCAAACAGTCATCTATATATCTACAGTAGAGTAACGGACCGTGGTCGATTACTGGCGCTTCCACACTTAGAGATGAATGCAATGGCAAGGCTTGGTGCCATTCGTTGTCCTATTGCCAGCCCTCTCATTTGTGCGTAATATCTGCTGTTTCTGTTGTTGTCTATGTAACGCCTCTATGTCACTGAGATTCCGAAGTTGTTCGGTTGGAGTTCGTTCAAGTGACTTCGGAGCTTTCAAAATTACTTCATTACGTTTTGCTAGCGAGGTTTTCATAGAGCGGCAGAAACTGGGCGAACACATTTCAAAACCAACTTTCCTTCAACCACTGTATTACTAACCAACATGCATTCTTTCTTTGATAAGCTTACACGAGGTTGATAAAAGTTTTATTCGGTCTTCGAAGAAGAACCGTGGACTATCGACTCGGATCGTCGGCTCTGATGAAGACGAACGAGGCGAAACGTTAGCCGGATAAAACTGTTTATCAACCTCGTGCAAGCTTGTCAAAGAAAGAATACATGAGCGAGCATAATTTGTGGCGACGATAGAGCAGCATTTTTCTTGCTTCTTTTTCCAAGAGAAGCAAAAGACTGGAAGTGGAACACATTGACATCACCAGCTAACCGAAACCATTTCTTATCAAAAAGAGAAACGGAAGTATTGACGAGGCACGTTCTCTTAGCGGTTTTTGCAAACAGGAGCATTCGCTAACGACGGACCATAAATCGGTCGCAGTAAGGTAAGTCCAGTAAGATCAGTAAGGCCATCAAGTAGTCTCATACAAATTTAACTGTTACTAAACAGTTTTAAGCCGTAATAAAACATATGTAATTCAGACGACGACTTCGTGATTTTTTAGATTCAGCCTTATGCTAACTTTTTACTTGCTGCCTGCTATAATTTTTCACGGCAGGGTATAATGCGAAGTACAACAGCAATGATGCTGAGATGTCTGCAGATCTCCCGACCGCAGGTCCTTGAAGTGAGGAACGAACGCGCTATTACTCTTGCGGGGGGCTAACACGTTCACCACCACACCATGCAGGTCCTTCGTTTCACATGTATTTCAGATAGTTCTACAGATTCGTGTCATCAGCAAACACACGTCAACGGGATTGATCGGGGGAGTTCAAATCGGCATTGAACCCAGTTAAGCTGAGGCCAAAAGTTAACACTGTGATTGTTGATGGCACTGATCCATAGAACTAACTGAGAGACTCAGCTTTATTTCCTACTTTTAACGTGATTCTTTTCCAGGAATTCGTAGATTTTAACCACCTCATTTCGTGGATTTTCAGACATTAAAAGCTTTACCATGGAAATGAATGGAATGTTAGACATTGGATTTGTTGATCATTTCATTTTAAGGTATTCGTTTAGAGTTTAGCTATAATCAAGGCATTGAAATATGACTCTGCAGGTGCTAAGTGACTGATAGGACAAGGCTAGTCGGATTAATTCGCCGAAAGCAACGAAACAAACGGTGAGGTGAAACACTTGGCAGGAAGAAGCTAGAAATTAAGGTTATAGCTTCGCTCAAGAACGCCTTGTAGACAGTTTGTTGTCACGTGAGTGGTGGATCATTGAGGAAAACTGTAACAGATGTGAGTGTACTGCAAAGCGAAGTGTAAAACGAAAACACGAGAAGGGTCATGGTCACTTTTGCGGCAGTGTGGCCAGGTCGGATTGATCTCAATGCACGTGGCGGGTAGTGAAATATTAGGAGCAGTTAATAAATAATACCGTTATAATGTTTAACGTTTTGTTTTCTGCCTTCTATAATTTTCATGGCAGGTTACTAAGCGAAATACAACCACAACGTTGCTGAGATATTTGCAAAACTCTGGACCGCAGATGTCTATGGTGGGGAACGAACCATAGACATCTGCGGTCCAGAGTTTTGCAAATATCTCAGCAACGTTGTGGTTGTATTTCGCTTAGTAACCTGCCATGAAAATTATAGAAGACAGAAAACAAAACGTTAAACATTGTGATTTCAACTACAGCCATAGCTTAACTGGGTTCTATGCCGATTTGCGCTCCCCAGATCAACCCCGCTGACGGGTGATTGCTGTGGCAAAAAGATCGATAGAAATAGCTGAGAGACGTGCGAAACAAAGGACCCGCATGGTGTGGTGGTGAACACGTTACTCCCCAGAAAGGATAATAGCGCGTTCGTTCCCCACCATAGACATCTGCGGTCCAGAGTTTTGCAAATATCTCAGCAACGTTGTAATACCGTTATAGTAAACACATTTCTTCTTCCCCTAGTTCTTTATGGCGAACTCGATCGATAGAAAACTAGCTGAGAGAACGGCGAAGGGAATAGCTCGCACGGTGTGGTGGTGAACGCGTTAGCCATCGGAACGGGTAATAGCGCGTTCGTTCCCCACCTCCCGCAGATACCTGAGGTCCAGAGTTTTACAAATATCTCAGCATCTTTGTGGTTGTATTTCGAATATTACCCTGCCGTGAAAAACTGTTCTAGGCAGCAAATAAAAAGTAAACATCGTAAACTTGATTGTTTTCAATAGTCAAACGTTGCCGAAGAAGTGCTAGTGGAGGCACAAGTTATGCGAGCGCCAACGTTCAGTTCTGATTTGATTCCATTGTTCCCTTTTCCTTTAAATTCTTTTTTCGTGAGAGGTCATCAATGAATTTAATTTGTATTTATAGCCGGAGCTGTCTCTATGTTTTGCCAGATCGATCGTCATAGATGAAGGTGTCTGTGAGGACGAACACTGAGGTGGAAAAGTTGTAACCGTGGGCAATTTAGTGATGTTTGGAACGAACTCACCATTTGTAAAGTCGACCGAGGGGACGTTGGACGCAATTGCGAAGGAGAATAGCGGAGTGACAACGATGAGCAGTGTGGCGGTCATGAACCGATCCGTCGTCGATGGCACATCTGAAGAGAAGCGGGTATAACCGACGGTACTCTCAAACCTGCCGAATAGACGATACAAGGACTATCTCCATGATCAGAGAAAACATCCAGATGCTCGAAATTATAGAAGCTTAAGATAACGTTTCCAATAGTTCAATCTAATTTTTCGAGAGAGCTAGAGAAATGATGAAAGTCTTGCGGATGATTCGACGAATCTGTTAGATTTACGAATTGTATAATCATAAACGATGAGGATAAAGCCCTAGGAGTTGATAAATCCAGAATGATGAGCCGTACATTCGACTTAATTAAGAATAGTGAGGTGTAACTGATTGCATATTCCGCCTATATGACTTACGGTGTCCTACCGATGTATAAAATCAGTGCTGCTGTTTTCCCACACAAATCTGGCATCCATTTGCCGACACCGGAGGGATGGAAGGCTTGGTGATTCCCTTGAGCGCGGGATCGAACCAAAGACCACGCATTTATTGCAGGGCACCTCTAACCACTGCATTACACGCGTCCCTTGTATTATCATAACCCAATGAAATATGATAGAGATAAGATAACAAAATAAGGCGTATGAATTGTTGTGCACTTAGTGGCTCTTGTTTAGATCATAGCCTACTTACAGTGCAGCTATCATCTTATAGGAAAACAGTTTAACAGTTTAACAGTTTTAGAGAAGAACAATAAACAATAGATGCAGCCCGGTAGGCGAAGTTGGAGAAAAAGGAATATTTATAAGCAGTGGCGACCATATTTTTGTAAACAAGTCAGCCAAATTAACATGTATTTTTCGGATAGGGTGCGTATAGCGCAACGCTCTGAGCAAACCAAGCATCTCATTCTTTCGGAATCAGCAAATTGGCAACAGAGTTGTGTAGGAGGATAAAACACTGAATTGAAACATCGGTAGGCCACCACAAGCCATTGTATAGGCCAGATATGCATCCAATCTGTAGATAAACAAGCCATGAAAAAGTAGACAATGGTGGCAGTAGGCTGGCTAAGGTTTAGAGAAAATTATTTCTCATAAACAGCCAACTGTGTAATTTAAAAAGCAACAGGAAAAATAAGTAACTCGATAGAAGATGCAGTCGCATTTGTACAATATTGGATGTGGGAAGAGATCGACGATAGCGCCCAACTGGGTCAGCTTTCATGGAAAAACGCTACGGAAAAACTTAAGTTTCGAAAGAGTTCTTGGGCTATCGCCTGAACAAAAAACCAGCAACATTGCTAGCAGTTCGAGACTTCTTTAGCAATTTATTTCTTATTCGATTCGAACGCTGTTTATTATTGAATAGACTTTTTTATGGACGAGGTCGGCAAAAAACCAGCACGACAAGGCTTCAAGCAGTGCGTGGCATCTGAGAGCGAGCAAGGAGCTTGATAAACTGCTGAAAACAACTCTGTGCTGTAAAAAGTAGCTTCATGGACACAACGACTATTGTAGATCTAACTGTATCAAAGTGTGCTGATATCGAACTGTTTAGAGGTGTCTTGAAATACAGACAGGGACCTTGTTATGGTCCGGCGAACTCGGCAAATAAAGTGCCCAACCTTCAGAGGCTCTGTAAATTAGTACCAGATTTATCTGCGAAGATAACAATCCTGACCTTATGGCCTCGCAGATCATTGTACAGGCCAAATATCCGTCCAGATATCTCTGCAGTGCTACGAATAGAATCAAATATATGGTACAATAAAGGATTAAAAAACGTCGAACGCTTTGTCCCTTGTCGTATTCCTCTGAGTGAGATGTTAAGGATCAGAAATCAAATAGTTGGGGAGATTAAACTATGGTAGCAACAGAAAAAGGCAGCAACTTTCCAAAAAATGCTAAGAAAAAGGCTCTTGCGCCGTTAACTACAGGAATGTTACAGTTGATCCAGAGTCGAAGAAAAGATGAACAGCAAATTGTAGTAGTTCCCAGCTGTGGTTCCTCCGCATTGCGAACGTCATTCACTCCCGACAGCGTGCTGAATGGATTCATGGCAACAGTTGTCTGCTTCTCTTACACTGAGTTCAGTCAATGTTCCTAATTCCTCTGAGTAGAACTAGTAGAAAGGATTGGATAAATAATATGGAGCATACAGTACAGGGAAGGAAAGTTTTCGGAGTTGTCAAACATGTAGATTTTTAGAAAACAAAGTAGATGAACATAAGGTGCCGAATCTTCAACTACTTTCAATATTCTTAATCAGCTAGCTGAACATCTCACATATATCGGTTCCAGGTGGTGATTGGCAAATTCTAAAGTTCTCCATTTGTCAACTGTTTCAGTCTTTGGAGAGTCGCGGGAGTAATTCAACGAAGACCGTTTCGCTATAGAGTGAACATATTCTAACATTAATATCTAAGTAAACACCTTTGGATCGTTCTTTCTCAATTTCTGATAGTATTACAATGGCAAGTCGATACTAAAAAATTCCAAAAACCCCAACACGATTGCAGATCACTGTATATCACGTGTGTTCCTTTTCATCGTTGAATCCAATGAACTCTCAATTCGTCTCTGGTGCAACGGATTCTCTAAGCTCCGGAGGTACGAATTGGGTCACAATTTAGCCGGCGTCATGGCGGTGAATCATCGATGCGGTGGTCCCACACTTGGTGCGCTCGACAAGTGGCGGGACCAAGTTGCTGGCGGTTATGTTCCCAGCAGCTGTCGTTTAGATAGATAACGTGTTCGGTTCACATCATTTTCGACATGTTGACATAGTGGCAGAGCAGCAGTTGCCGTTTAGGCAAATCATGTCTGTCGTTCTACTAATTTTCGGAATCGCATATGCTGTAGCGCTTCGCAGTGTCCCAGATCTGTGATCGCCCGCAGAGATCGGAGCTTCAAGTTTTTCTATCGTTTGCCTGATACCGTAGCTTTCCTATCGTTGTAATGCTTTCTGAAGAATACTTGATCATACTCTATTCGATGTTGCTCATACTTTTCCTGACAATGAGACGTCCAGTTTCCCGAGTTGATCCTTAGAGGCAACTTAGAGTCGAAAGGGAACGTGAAGAGTGTTTTTTTGCTCACACTACCATATTCGTAATGTTCTGCTCACCAAACTATTAAGCTTACTAATCTGCATATGCCTGCCTTCTCAAACACAGCAGAGCTAAGGCGATTATTGTGCCGATTTCGTAAGTGGGTATAAATAATCTAAGCCATTAAGCATGTGCGAAAAATCAGGAAATAGTCTCCTTTTTTGCTTTGAATAAAAGATAAGAAGAATTAAGCTCTCGGCATAGGTTAATCCCTGAGGCATGCACCATGCACTAGACTTCGACAAGCATCGTTAAAGATGAGTGAATACATATTTTGTCTATACGATGCATTATGATGGCCTATCGATGTATCAAGTCGGTGCTGCTACCCTCCAAGACAAATCCCGTAGCAATTTGCCGACACCGAAGGGATGGAAGATTTGGTGAACCCAGAGGCGCAGCATCGAACCAGTGACCACGTGTGTATTGCAAGGCATTTCTAACCACTGCGCTCACTGCACACGCTATTGTTTTGTGAAGTTCAAAGAAATCAGAAATTGACAGATATGTCTCAAAATACGTCTAATTTTGGGAAATATTGCGTCAAAAATCAGCAGAACAGAGTGTGTAACGAAGTAACGAGTAAAACGAGACAAAAGATGGCTACTAATGTCTCAAGGTAACCGAAATATCGGCTACACCGGAATAGACGGTCGTCGTTAGATAGACTAGTTTGGATAGAGTCTCCTACTTATCGCAATGCAAAAAGGACGAGAATATAATGCCGTTTTCGTGACAGTGTAATGAGTTTCTGGTTCTTTTCCTTTCGAAACAATCCTCCGAATCTGAAGTTGAAAACCGCACGAATGGTCTAATGAAGATCTCAAAAGAGGAGCCAAGTGATGTCGTCCGCTTTCGAGAACTTGGATCAACTTCGGCACCTCTACTCCACCGCACAGGTCTCGTTGATACATCTTTAAAAAAGAATCATGTAAAAATCATCGAAAGGGCTATTGACTTAATCCGTTCGCGTTCCATTATTGCTAGAAGTTTGAAATGATTCAAATACATGCATGTTTTAGCTCGTCAAACGTGCTAACTGTGAAAACAGAGTTCTTAGATCTCTGTTCATTCTACATGAGGCAACAGGTGACAAAAGCTGGTGAGAGGAATGATTCGTAGGGAAATGAGGTGGATGAAACACACACACACCCGCAAGCAGCTCAGCTGATTGGAGGTGCTAGTGGTCGACGGTCGATTCTCTAGTGTAGCACACCAACGGAAAAAACGCATTTGTTGTCCTTCGGACACATCGAAACAGATAATTAATGCACTGTTCTTCTTGATGAGCAAACACGAGGTTGTTATTGCAGCATTTGTTCATTCAATACTGGCTCACGTTTGGACGCTTTCGACTTCCTCAGAGCCGGGAAGGTTCAAATTGACATGCAATCCACTCAGCCGAACACTTTCATAACCTAAGCACGTAGAACTTAATACGCAGTTTTCTCATTAGCATAAACCAGCTTCTCTTTAACACTAACCGTCTTGTTCTTTGTATGTCTTCAAGTTACTTGGTGGAGACAAGCCTCACAGGGTCTAACAGGGGTGAGGAATGTGTCTAAGACAAAAAATCAGCCTGAGCTATGGCGCCAGTTCACGCGTGGTCGTAAGCGACTCCTCCTTGCGATTCATTTTTGGATTTTTGGAATTCGTCCGGAATGCTTGAAGAGTTTCACGCGATGATGTTTTGATTTACTGCCCGAGGATAATGACTTTTAGTTCAAAATCTTCTCCGTGGTGTCTCTGTGTCCTATGAGGCCTAGCCGAGCACTTGGCTTAGCGTCAATTTATGGATCAGGACTAAGGTTAAAAGAAAGCCATTCTTGGGATTTGCTACATAAATAATGTATAGCTTATGAATGAACGTGAGATAATTTACACCAATACTAAACCTCCAATGCACCGATCCCAATGGTCAAGTCAACACAGCAGGTGCTT